AGAAAAAAACAAAAGAGACGGGAAAAGGGGGAAAGTAGAAAACGAAGCATAATAATAATAATAATAATAATAATAATAATAATATTAATAATAATAATCAGTCGGAGTGACGTTTCCGTGAATGGCGGACGGTTCTGAAGTCCGCAAAAGGCGGCCGTTGGAGCCAAATGAGAGGGATGAGGTGCTAGACAACACGCCCAAGTATGCAGATGCAGATACAATGGCGCAGCGCCGCATCGTGCGGGTGCAGCGTACGTCTATCAGTGATGTCGTGCCGTCGTTGAAAGGGGCGTTCAAGGCGGTGCCCGGCATGGCGCCGACGGCGGCACCATCTCTTTCCACAAATTTTGGGTTAAGCGGCAGTAACAGCAGCAGCAGCGGCGCCACTTTCGCACTTGCCAAAGTTTCTTTTCCGGTTGTTGGAGAAGCGCCGAGTTCTGTCTTACCTGGTGCCAAAAACTTTACGTTTGGTGTTGAAAGCAGCTCCAGTGAAAGCAACAAGGATAACAGTGGCGGTGTGGTCGCTGTTGGCAATGATGCGGCTGCGGGGACGTCTTCATCTCGAGAGACGTTGAATTTTAACGGCGCGCGAAATGTTTTTGCGGAGGCCAAGGAGCGGATGGCGAAGACCGTCGCTGACGTGGAAGAGGAAGCGCCGGCGGAAGAGAAGCTTGCCACCAGCGATGCTCTTGCCCATGCTGCTCATGTCACGCCTTTAACGGAGGAGATTTTGGCGTGTGCGTCCTGTAAACTGTTTTTGTTTAAGTTGGAAACCAAAAGTTGGGTGGAATGTGGCGCTGGTGATGCCAAAGTGAAGCGGCGCGAGTCCACAGAGGTCACGGACGGCGAGAAAGGAGGAAAAAATCTTTATCGTCTGATTGTTCGCGATGGTTACGCCCTCAATGCAGCACTGTGCAAAAATTTTCATCTTACGAAGGCAGATGACACGCATGTCATCTTTTCCATACCAAAAAATGACGGTGTTGCAACTTACCTTGTGAAGTACGTGGGGCAACAGGCAGCAGAACACGGCCCGGAGTTCACAAAGAAGTTAAAGGAAGCTCTGAATTTGGCCCAAGAAGATTTTTCTTAGGAAGCAGTCAACGCTGTTTTTTTACAGCGCCTTGTGTTTTAAACCCTTTTATTATTATTATTCATATATATTTGTTTTGGCATCCATCTCCTTTGTTCTTTTTATTTTGTCGTTGTTGTGGCAATTATTATTGGGAACCGCGGTGGGGATGGGATGCCTGATTGCTGTCTCCATTTTTTTTTTTTTTTTTTTTTTAGTGATGGAGAGAACTTCTTCCATTATCAATGACCTTTTCAAGAAGGACCCAAATGTGAGGCACATCTTATCCCCTTCGCAGCAAGAGTTGATGGGGCTCGATGATGCTATTAGACGCATCCGCGCTGAATACGAGAACAATTTCACAAACTCCGATATTGCATTTCAGTACGCATGCCTTCTGATCCTGCACTCCCGCTCTTCATACATTGAAGAGGGCGTGCGCCTCATGGAGTCATTGCTGTATACCGCATGGAAGGAGCGCCAGGTCGAATTGGCGGGTGCATCGTCAGTAAAGACGAATTTGATGCCCGGTGAGGAGGTGGATTCTCAAGAGGATATTTTGCGTGGTAGTGTTATTCACGCGGCCTCTGCGCCGCCGGAAACACAAGGAGAGTGGGAGCATTTTGAACACGACGCTGGGGAACAAGAAAAAGAGACCGATACGAAAAGCAAAAGAACCACATCCACGGACGAGCTTGTTATTAACTACTACTATCTAACAATTGGATGGATAAAGCTTCGGAACTACGACAAGGCACTGATATGTGTGAATCAAATGCTTCAACTCCAGTCCGATCATCGCCAGGGAATCGCGCTGAAGCAGTACATTGATGCAGAAGTAAATATGACTTTAACTGCAACTGGCTTAGCGGGAGTGGGTGTCGCCGCTGCCGTGGCAGCGCTCATTGCCGTTTGCTTTCGAAAATCATAATATTTTATATTTATGACGGGCGAGGTGCAGTCTCAGTGTGAAGCGCAGTTTTTTTTTTTTTTTTTTTTCTTTTTGTCCCCTCTTTTTTTTTTTTTTTTTTTTTGTTGTTGTTGTTGGGTGTTTGTGTGTGCCCGAATTTATTATTATTATTATTTTTTCCTTTCTTGCCACATGAATTAAAAAGAATTGGAGGAATACTCTCCCTCTGCTCTTTATTTTCTGTTGCGTGGAGGCGGGAGCGGGGGTTCACTCATTAGGGAGGCGTTGTGTTCGTTCTTACTCCTAGCCCTCTTTCCTACTCTCCCTTTACACGTACCCTTTTCTATCATTTATCGTGTGTCGTAGCGACAGGGACGCATGCTCCGTCGTGTGTGTGCATTTCGACGTGGCAACGCCATGCCTGTGCTCTGCGCGGGTCGGTGGGTGAGTAAAAAGCAGAATTCCATGCGGGTGGCACCCACGACAGCAGCGGCACGCCACGCAAAAAAGACCTCCTCGCCACAGGCATTTACAGCCCCACTCGTCCTCCGGGGACAGGTGCGCCCCGTGCAGTTGGCCTCAGGGGAGGGGAAGAAAAGGCCGCAGCCAAAGAAAGGGGTTGATTCCCGCAGGCGGATGACGGAGGCAATCGCAATGAAGAAGCGCAACGCACTGAAGAGAAGAGCTTTGAAGGGGCCGCAAAGGCAGCCGGCAGCGTCCCGAAAGTTTGCTTCGACCGCTACGTCGTTGCGATCCGAAGCAACTAGTCCTGTGGCACAGAAGGGTGTACGGAAAGGGCGTCCACATGCCCACACCGTTCAAAAAAAGAAGTACAATAAGCGAGTGGCGGCCATTGCCAAGCTTTGGAGAATGCAGAAGAAAAAGACACAGAAGACCACTCCTGCGTCACATTCAAGGAAATAGAAAAGCGCACACAAGTGCGTACATAGAGCAACGGCAACAAGAATAATTAATCACTGGCGATTCCTTCTCTTGTGGGACACACAAAGAAGGAAGGAGCACAGAGAAACAAAACAACAACAACAACGAGGAACGCCGTCTTGTTGTTTATTTTATTTGATTTTTTCGTTTGTTTGTCTAAGCGTGGAAACAGAAAAAGAATTTGACGTATTCTGCCTATTTTTTTTTATTCCACCCTTTTTTTATATTTGGCGTTTTTTTACGGCAATTTTTTTTTATTATTTTGCGTGTATCTTTGCAATAGAAAGAGCTGAGCTGCACTCAATATACATACATATATATATATGGATATATGGATATTTCTCTTCTGGTGTTGATGTTGATGCTGGGAGGTTTTTTTTTTTGTTTTTTTTTTGGCTTGTTTGATTTGCTTTGCTGCAGGGCTTGACACTTCTTTAAACATTGTCGTTTTTTTTTTTTTTTTTTTTAATGTGGAGAAAGGAAAGGGGGCTAGTTGGCATTTTTTTTGTCTCCCGCGAGAAGGAAAAACGTGTTTGCAACTACGTGCATTTATTTACACACACGGACGCAAGAAGCTCGCATTTCCTGCTGTCTCGGCCGATCAATGAATGACTTGTGAGCAGGCCTATGGCTGGTGTGTCGGGTTTAGTGGGATGCTCCAAAGTGGCAGGGAGGGGCGGCTCGGAAAGTTGTGGCAACGCCTGTTAAGTAGTGTATGTAGTGAGGAGGCCCTTGCAGAGGCAACAAGGGGACCCAGGGTGGCTTGGAATCCCTATAGACCTGCGCGCGGTGAGCACCTCCTGCAAGGCATTTTGAATAGTGAGGTGTATGAATGGCGTTCAGCAGTAGCTGTCAACTCGTTGCGCCTTCACGGAACGGCACTGTCAACGGATGGTTTACCGCAGAGCCCCTTGAATACAGCGCATAATATAAAGTTCTTTCATTTAGAGGCAAACGTCAGTGGAATTACGACAAATGGATTGTCCAGCGATAGAACTGCTGCCCAGTGCTCAGGGCGTACTGGACCGTCGTGCGACATTGAAAGTGAACCAATTGAAGGGATGTGCAATGGAAATAACAGAGAAAATATCCGTCGCTCCACAGAGCCACAAGATGTGATAGATGACATTTTTGAGGTTCTTTGGCGAACATTTGCAGTGCCGTGGATTATAGAACGGCATGCTTCCGGACGCCAATTACGGCGGGAAAAGAGGGAGCCTGAGACGCATGATAATTCCACGGCAATATTGAGTTTCTATTGTGCGGATCCTGTGAAGCGATTTGCAGGGAAGCCCAACAGAAACAACGACCTTGTACCCAACCGCCGAAGACCAACCACTGGGCCTGCAATGCGTCGTGGCGGGACAGAGAGACAGGCTGCCCCGGCACTGCCTGACGATAAAAAGACGCCGTTACTTCTTTTGCACACGGGGGCCTCATTGAAAAAGGAATTTGTCGATGTGGTACGAGAGGAGGGACATCCTGTGGCGGTTGCGAGACAAGGAGTTCACTTTCTCAATGAGGTGGGCCACTCCCCAAAGCAGAAACGAGTGAGTTCATTCAGATTGTCCGTATTGGCGTCCTCCGGGAATGCTGAGGCGGAGAGGAGGCGGTCGCTGTTACTGGGGAAACCCACCATTGGGAGGCCAACGCTTCACTGCAAGGGAGACCACCCCTTTTCCAGTGTCCTGCATCCACGTGACAACTCATCTCCCGACCGCAGACATTCCCCGAAAGGTAAACAAAATAGCGTTTTTGCCAAGAAATTGGACAAAGGGGCCCAAAATGTACGTGCCTTGTCCGGCTGTCGAGGTTGCAAGTTGGCTCCTTTACCTAGAAAAGCAAGAGTTTGTTCACCAACGATTATTAAACAACAAAATGAAGAGGTGTAGCTTGCCCTTTTAAAGCTTTTTGATGTGTTGCCTTTGATTTTTTTTTTTTTTTTTTTTTTTTTTTTTTTTTTGAACTCATAGGAGGGATCTTGTCATCCTCGATTTGCTTTCTTGTTCACTCCCTTGTGGTGCTTCATAAGCGCAAACCCCCTTCTCTTTCCTACATGCTTCCGTATTTGCGAATACTGTATTTATTTTTGGACAGTTGCACACGGACCCTTCTTTCTTTTCTTTTTTTAATTTTATTTTCTCTCCGTGTTTGCGTGTCGTGTACTAGCCAGCCTGAAGGAGTTGGATTGTGCGAAAACAGCAGTTCCTTTTATCGATATTGGTTGGGGATTTCATTGATCTGATGAGCACTCTTTTGGCGTGTCCTTACTGCGGTGTTCAGATGGGAATGTCCTGCATGAGGGCACACATTGCATTGTGCAATGACCGCGACTCCAGTAGAGAAAATAGCGAAGGCAGAGCGGAATCCAACGAACCTTTGGCATGCACCCGCAACTCTTCCTCCCTTTCTTCCTCTGCGGTTGCGGGCTTTCCATGCGTTGAGACGTCGATTCCCCCGCGGGTTCCGGGCAATGCGAACGCCCCAAAGGTTTTTCGTTTGGACTTGCGATCCAACCCGATTAAAAAGCCAATCGTGAGGGATGCGAAGGTGAGGGATCTCTGGTCGTTTCCAGAGTCCGAGCGCCGTTCGTGTTCGCGTCGCGGTTTGACTTCACCCCCGTCGCCCCCTCTTCAAAGCAGCAATGATGAATTGCCGATTGGGGAAAAAGCCGTGGAAACTGGATTGTTATCGTTGCCCACGGGCACATCTAACACGGAACAGGAAAATTTTGGGCATGCTGGGCACGGGGAATTGTCAAGCGGAAAGGAGGGCGATGGACACTTAGCCTCTTTGGATAACACTCAGCTGTTGGAAAAAATTTCCCTACTGGAGGCAGCGAACAGAGAGCTTTATGAAGCGTTGGCCGTTCAGAGAGAGGCACATGAAAATTCAAGGGCGGCGCTGGAAAGGACTCTGAATTCTCTGCGGGATGATTTATCGACCCTTCATGCGTTAGTGGCCGGTGCCATCAAGAGTGCAGATGCTGCTCACCACGGCGTAGTGGGTGTTGAAACACGACTAGAGAACCTTCCGACAAGGGAGGCATTTTATCGTTTGGAAGAAAAAGTGGAAGATTTGTTTGCATGTTCACGCACACTGCGGCAGGATACGCCGCCGCGGCAAGGGAGGGTTTCGCGTGATAAGAATGAGAAAACTCCTCTGTTGAATCTCTCTGTCAACAGTATTTCATCAGCCACTCGCCAAGCCACTAGCGGTATGAGTGGGAGTAAAGACACCGGGAGCGAGCGACGAGGTGCTCCCACAGGGACGCCGTTTCTATGCGACGACGCTGGGGAGATGATTGCACAACTTCTCCATCTGCAGCCTGCAGTCTTGATCCATACTCACGGTACGACGTCGGCGTTGAAGGCTTCAGACGGTTTTCCTGGGAGGGGGTGACCAGCGCTTTGTATTCTAGACTTTTTTTTTCTTGCTTTTACGTTTTTTTTTTTGTTTTTATTTGTTGTTGTTCTCGTGCTAATTGTTTACCGATCAGAGTGGAGGACAAGAACGAACCAAAGTGATGGAGGATACAAGAAGAAGCAGTGCCCTGCCAATGTTGAATAGTTTGCAAATTATTGTTATTATTATTATTATTATTATTTTATTCTTGTGTTTTATTCAATCAACATTGCCGTCTTGGAACACATACGCACCCAATATATACAACATATAATACAGGTTGATACATATAGTTTTTGTTTTTTACTGTATACGGGTGGGGGAGTAGAGGGATGCCACCACGTCGACTCTGTATTCACTGCTGTGAAGAGAAGGCCGCTGTGAAGCGGCCCCGCAATGGGCAACTTTTATGTCAAAAATGTTTCTTTCACTTGTTCGAAGAGGAAGTTCATGAGACAATAATGGCGGAGAAACTTTTTACCTCGGGTGATGTTGTGGCTTGTGGCGCAAGCGGAGGCAAAGATAGTACAGTTCTAATGCATCTTATGAAGCTACTGAACGAGCGTCATGGATATGGCGTGCAGATTCTTCTGCTGAGTATTGACGAGGGGATCACTGGCTATCGTGACGACAGCCTAAAGACGGTGCATCGCAACTCCGCAGAGTATGAACTTCCACTGCGTGTGATGTCGTACAAGGAACTTTACGGGTGGACAATGGATGAGGTTGTGCGGCTATCAGGATTAAGAAATAGTTGCACTTTTTGTGGTGTGTTTCGTCGACAAGCTCTGGACCGTGGCGCAGCGTTGCTTGGGGCGACAAAGATTGTGACAGGACACAATGCCGATGACTTGGCAGAGACAATCTTAATGAACATCTTGCGCGCAGATCTTCCACGTCTCTCTCGTTGCACAAGCGCCATCACTGCCGGAGATGGTCTTATTCCTCGTGTAAAGCCATTGAAATATGCCTATGAAAAGGAGATTGTCCTCTACGCACATCTCAAGAAGTTGGATTATTTTACCACAGAGTGCTCCTATAGCAGGGAGGCCTTCCGGAGCGAGGCACGCACGCTTTTGAAGGAGATGGAGAAGCTTCAACCACGCTGTATTTTAGACACTATCCGCTCCGGGGAGCGTCTGCGTGTAAAGGAGCGGGAGTCTGTTCCCGAAAATCCACAGGGATTTTGTGTTCGTTGTGGTTACGTAACGAGTCAAAAACTTTGTCGTGCCTGCGTACTGCTGCAGGCGTTGGGCAGCGGCGATCCCATGACGGCTGTGCGAGGACAGCACCAGAAAACACAAGGTGAGATGGACGTTTAAAAAATTCCGGTTAAACGATGCCAATAAAAGATCAACCGTCTAACTGTACATGTCATTTATTTTTTTTGGATTGTAATGATGACTTTAAAAGCGAGTAATACATCTTGTTCTTATGTATTGCACGCTCATTTTTTATTTCTTTTGCCTGTTTATTTATTTACTTATTTTTTTGCTCGTAGTTCTCCCAAAAGTCTTGGAAAAAAAAAAAAGGCATTCATTTCTTCTCTCGTCACTGAAACAGCCGTAGGACAGAAGGCTTGCTGGAGGGTTGTGGTAGCGGCGGGGGGAAAATGCCGTACGTTGCGAACGGCAGGGTCGTTGACTCGAAGCCGTTTAGTCTCGTCGACTTTTTTCTCTCCATTCTGCGTCTCATGTGGCTGTTTTTTGCCACTCTTGTTTCCTCCGAGCCCGTCTCGCAACACGTGCAGGAGTACAGATCAACAACGCGAATTGTTCCTTTCGGTGGTGGTCGCAGCGTTGGTCACGCTCCGCGTGGGCCCAACATTCACGGACTTCCAAAGGGCTCACTTACCGGCGGATGTGCCACTGGCTGACGTTAAGCAGCGTGCGAGTTGGATAACCAACACATCCACGCACCCACAGGGCACAGCCAACTATGCATGTTGTGGTGGATAAAAAGGACTAGCGAAGAAGCAGAAGTTTCTTTTTTTTGTCTGCCTGTTTTTCTGTCCGTGTCTAAGGGGGTGTTTGTTTTGGTTACTTCTTGCGCGTCGCTCAGGATGCATTCTTCATCATCTGTTTTGTTTGTATGACTCTGCAGGCGGGAAAGCCCATTTTGGTCCCCTGTGGATGAATTTTTGTTTATAATTGACAGATGTGGGGTGCGGCAGCCGCTGGTTGGTGATTTGGTCCGTTTTTTTTTTTTTTTTTTGTTGGTGTTGTTGTTTCACTGCTTCGAGGCGCTGCTAAAGCCACACCCTTTCAAAATGAGGGATTGCACAAAATAGGGAATAAATATTTTTATTTTTGCCGCTTTTTTGATGTTGTTGGTAGTGAAATTATTTGAAAGCGTTGAAAAAGCCCTGCTTTTTTTTTTTTTTTTTGTTCCGTATTGCGTATATTCTGTGAGTTTTTTTTTTTTTTTTTTTGACGTGCTCCTGCCGTTGTGTGCATCTTCACGCTGGGGAAAGGTGCCTTTTTGCCATGCCACGTGGTGATAATTTGCAGCGCGCCTCAACCTCCTCTTTTCTTCCTTTTACTTGTGAAATTGCTCTGGCGTGCGGCAGGTGCAGGAGGACACGTTTATTAGAGTTGAAGAGAGAGTTGGTTGGTGTGAGTGTGTGTGGGGCTGGCAATGGGCAACAACGACTTTTTGCGGTCCACGGCGCAGCGTCTGCCACCGGACCTCTCCGACAGCCAAAAGGACGAGATTGCCGAGGCGTTTCGCATCATGGACGTGGACGGAACAGAGACGATCACGCCCAACGATCTCAAGGTGGTCCTTCGCGCCCTCGGGTATGAGCCGCAGAAGGACGTCATCAAGAAGCTCGTGGCGGAGATGGACAAGAGCGGTGTCTCGAGCAACCTCATTCTTCCCGAGTTTGAGGCCATCATGAAGGGGAAGTTCTTCGCCGAAGACAGCGAAGAGGTGCTTCTGTCCTTCCGGCACTTCACCAAGGGCAACTCGGATTACATTACCCTTGAAGACCTGAAGCGCGTGGCGGAGGAGGTTGGAGAGGAGATGCCAGAGGACGTATTGAAGGCAATGATTGAGGAGGCTGACGTTCTCGACCATGACAATCGCGTTTCGAAGGAGGAATTTCTTCGCATGCTGCTGCCACACAAAGAAAAATGAGGGCGTCCGAGTTGTGGGTGTTGCTGTGGAACATGTACAGGAGGGAGAGCACACGGGAGAAGTGTCCACCGCCAAGTGAGTCCGCTTAAAATTCTTGGCAGGAAAAGGAAACGAAATACATGAAGCGACAGATGTTTAAAGAGGAGATGTGTGTGCGGGGAAAGAAAACACCAAAGATTTCTGTGTGGTTTCGACTGCCTCAACTTATTCACAAAAGTGCATTGGCCCTCTGCTTCTTCTCTTTTCTTTTTCTTTTATCTCTTTTCTTTTCCGTGTGTGTGTGTGTGTGTGTGAAACCGAAACGGGATTCCAACAACAACAACGAAAAGCAGCCGCAAAGAACGAATTACACCGAAAGACTGAAAGATAGTCAATAGCGCGCAAATGGCGGATGATGCCATTAAAGAACAGTTAGAGAACGCCCGCAAAGCGTTCGAGGCGCAGAATTATCAGGCGTGTGAGGTGATCCTTCAGAAGATGCCGCAGGAAGATTTAAAGGCGCAGCACAACCTGGCCATTGTGCGACTGCTGCAGAACCACGCAGACATGGAGCAGACCATCGCGGCGCTGGCTGATAACTCGACAGAAGGCCTCCCCATGCTGAATGAGAGGGAGGGAGAGACAAAGAATTCAGTTTCCCTCCTGTATGAAGGACATGAAACGGCACACTTTAATCGTGCACTACTTCTTGCAAGGTCGGGACTTTTAAACGAGGCGGCGGGTATTCTTCGCGGCCTGCTTGGGATGCATAACAGCATTACACCGGCAGTCCTGGGGCGTGCGTTGTGTCTTTTACAAACGATTACACGCATTCCAACAAAGGCGCACCATCGCCAACGCTCGGATGATGAATTGATTCAGAAAGTAATCACGGAAAACATGAGTAAGTTTTCGAAGGATCCCGCACTTCTGAGTATGGTGAAGGGGGCATTTGCAGACTCCAGCACCATCCACGAAATGCCTCACAATTCCGATGCAGACTGGGCTGTATACTTTAACAATCTTGGTGTCCTAACCATGGGCGATTCTAAAATGAACGTGGCCTCACTTTGCTTTGCGAAGGCAGAAAAGGCTGCCGCGCAATGCAACACCCCCCTGATGCGGCATCCTATTGTTTACAACGCTGGCCTTTGTGCATTACTACGTGGTGAGTACGA